TGAACACCTGGATCTCAGAGACTATAAGAGATAGAGACACCAAATTTTGCACAAAGATGCGTTATGTGTGTATTCTAAACGAGTTTGTCTTATTTTTTTGATTTTCCCCCCACTTCCCCCCTAGGGGGGTTTTCCCGATTTTCCATTCGTATAATCGCCTATATCTCGGAGACTATAATAGGTCTTATACACCAAATTTTAGTCCCAGATGCCTTGTGTGAATACGCAGAAAATGTATATTTTGGAATTTCCCTTCCTCGCAAATGCGATTTTCTCTAACTCCCGTAATTCTTAGAATTTCGAACTAAACTTGGAATTGGAAATACCCCCAGTTGGTTATTATGTGTCCGTGTGTCAAGTTTCACTATGATAGACCGATTTAACAAGAAGTTATAGCCATAAATATATTTGCTGCTGCAGCGCTGCTCAAGCGCTGCCCAAGCGCTGCCCACGGCTGTTGTTGATGTTGCTGTTTAGTTGACTGCGAAAATGCTTACACAGACACAAATAGACGCACATAAACATACATACACTGACATAGACGCAATTGCTTTGTATATGTGCAATTATATACCCTTTACGTGAGTTCGAATACCGAGAAAGGTAAAATCGATCAAATTTTTTTTAAATTTTCTTATCTTTTTATAGCCTGTACCCAAAGGGTGAAAGGCTATACTAGTTTTGTGCGCATGTATGTAACACACAGAAGGAGGCGTGGCAGACCCCACAAAGTATATATATTCTTGATCAGGATGAGAAGACGAGTCGATATAGCCATGTCCGTCTGTCCGGCTGTCTGTTTGAGCGCAAGGATCTCAGTAAGTACAAGAGGTAGGATAACCAAAATTGGTATCAAGGTTCCTATAAGCCCTAGGCAGAACGAGTTTGTTTATTTTTTCTGATACACCCCCCCACTCCCCCGCAATTCGTATTTTTTCTTATAACTTCCGTAATTCTCGGAATTTAAAATTCAATTTTGGTAATTTTGGTAGGTACATTCAGTTAGTACTAATGTGTCCGTGTGCCAAATTTCATCATGATAGGTCGATTCTGAAGAAAGTTATAGCCATAAGTAAAATAGCTGCTCATGCGCTGCCTGCAGCTCTGTCGGCAGCGCTGCCCGCAGCTGTTGTTGTTGTTGCTGCTTTTGTTCAACTTTGTGCTGCATACATACACGCATATAAACACGCATAGGTACGTGATGTAAATGTATGCTGTTTAAACTGAACATAAACATGTGTTCTAATTTAATTTAATTAATTATTTTAATTAGTTAATTCATTCATTTTTTTTAATAATTTAATTTTTTTTTATTTATTTTTTTTTAATTTTTCCTTTTTGTGGAGAGTACAGGCTATTTTACTGTCGGGCTTGCTCGACTGTAGCGTTCTATCTTGTTTTCTATAATTATTGTAAACATATGTACAGAGTATTTCAAAGTCGGGACACCCGACTTTAGCTTTTTTACTTGTTTATATCAGCAATTCCACACTTCATTTAATTTGCATAATTTAATAAATAAAATATTTTGTATTTTTATAGCCTGTACCCAAAGGGTGAAAGGCTATACTAGTTTTGTGCACATGTATGTAACACACAGAAGGAGGCGTGGCAGACCCCATAAAGTATATATATTCTTGATCAGCATGAGAAGCCGAGTCGATATAGCCCTGTCTGTCTGTCTGTCCGTCTGTCCGCCCGTATGAACACCTGGATCTCAGAGACTATAAGAGATAGAGACACCAAATTTTGCACAAAGATGCCTTATGTGTGTATTTTATACGAGTTTGTTTTAATTTTTTTGATTTTCCCCCCACTTCCCATCTATGGGGGTTTTACCGATTTTCCATTCATATAATCACCTATATCTGGGAGACTATAAGTCCTAGGAACACCAAATTTTAGTCGCCTTATGTGAATACGCAGAAAATGTATATTTTGGAATTTCCCTCCCTCCCCCCTCTACCCCACAAATACGATTTTCTCTAACTCCCGTAATTCTTGGAATTTCGAACTAAAATTTTGCAAATACCCCCAATTAGTAATTATGTGTCCGTATGCCAAGTTTCACTATGATAGACCGATTTACCAAGAAGTTATAGCCATAAGTATATTTGCTGCTGCAGCGCTGCTCAAGCTTTTTGTTGCTGTTTGGTTGACTGCGAAAATGCTTACACAGACACGAATAGATGCGCATAGGCATACATACACTCACACAGACGCAATTGCTATGTAAATGTGCAATTATACACCCTTTACGTGAGTTCGAATACCGAGAAAGGTACAATCGATCAAATTTTTTTTAATTTTCTTTTTATACCCTGTACCCAAAGGGTACAAGGGTATATTAGTTTTGTGCGAGTGCACATGGAACACATAGAAGGAGGCTTGGTAGACCCCACAAAGTATATATATTCTTGATCAGCATGACAAGCCGAGTCGATATAGCCATGTCCGTCTGTCTGTCCGTCTGTCTGTCTGTATGAACGCAAGGATCTCCGAAAGTATAAGAGCTAGAATAACCAAACTTTGTATACAGATTCTCCTGAGACCGAGAAAGGACGAGTTTGTTCATTTTTTCTGATCCACCCCCCCACTCCCCCCCTATTAACGATTTTCTATAACTCCCGTAATTCTTGGAATTTTGATTTAAAATTTGGTAGTCACATTAGGTTAGTAATTATATATCCGTATACTAAGTTTCATTATTATAGAATGATCGGAAAGAAAGTTATAGCCATATAACCAGGCCCAATGCACACATACATACATACATATGTACAAGTACACAAACACGCATAGACACTATTCTGATGCAAAGGTAAATGTATGCATGCATGGAATATTTCATATTTAATTTAGTTAATTAATTTAATTAAATTAATTAATTCATTTAATTACTTTTTTGTGGGGTGGTACAGGGTATTTAAGAGTTGAGCCTGCTCGACTTTAGCATTCCTTTCTTGTTTTTTTTCTAGTAAATTTTTTTAATTAGTAAACATATGTACAGAGTATTTCAAAGTCGGGACACCCGACTTTAGCTTTTTTACTTGTTTTTTTTTTGTGGCAGTGAATGCAGGATATTTAAGAGTTTAGCCTTTATTTAAGCATTCAATTTTTGTTCTTTAACTGATTGATATAATAGTTTTTTGCAAATTATATTTCCAATATTTCAAAATTTACAAAAAGCTGCAGAGCGAGGAATATATAAATATTCAAGATTACTATAGGCTCATTATTTGTTACATCCATCTGGACATGGCCGTTTGTCTGAATGAATGCCTGGACTTCGAATTCTAAGAAAAGTTACTAGAAAAATAATTTTTCTACAATACTTCGCCCGACTAAAGCATTTCCTCTGGATTTATATTTCTTTTAAATCAACATGAGGGTACATAAGCACGTTTTGGGGGGAATTACAAAATTTTAGTAGAAGAGAAATCACTTTGGAGAACTTTATTTTAAAAGAAGAGAGAGAACCCTGTATCCAGACTAACGTCCGGCACTGAGTTATAGGCGACCATAGCAGAAGCGCAGTTTGTGGGCGTAGTACAGGACTGACATTGTTTCGCTAATTAATTAGAACTTAACTTAACTCTTAAATAACCTGTACCCACTGCTATCGAAAAATCAATTAAATCGAGTTTGAAATGTTTTCATTTTATTTCTTTAGTTTCTCCCTTTATCTCTAAATTTTTTTACCCTGTAGTTTTGTGCGAGTGCACATGGAACACACAGAAGGAAGCTTGGTAGACCCCACAAAGTATATATATTCTTGATCAGCATGACAAGCCGAGTCGATATAGCCATGTCCGTCTGTTCGTCTGTCTGTATGAACGCAAGGATTTCCGAAAGTATAAGAGCTAGAATAACCAAACTTGGTATACAGATTCTCCTGAGCCCGAAAAAGGACGAGTTTGTTCATTTTTTCTGATCCACCCCCCACTCCCCCCCCTATTAACGATTTTCTATAACTCCCGTAATTCTTCGAATTTTGAACTAAAATTTAATAGTCACATTAGGTTAGTGATTATTTATCCGTATACTAAGTTTTATTATGATAGGCAGAAAGAAAGTTATAGCCATATAACCAGGCCCAATTAATTTAGTTAATTAATTTAATTAAATTAATTAATTAATTTAATTAATTTAATTTCTTTTTTGTGGGGTGGTACAGGGTATTTAAGAGTTGAGCCTGCTCGACTTTAGCATTCCTTTCTTGTTTAATTACGTTTAAAGCTTCTGCGTCCTCGGCCCGCTTATATACAATGTTTACACAGCCGACCTCCCGGTGCTACTGAGCCCCAACATTATGGCAGGCATATATGCCGACGACACGGCCTTCCTTACCGTAGCAGACACCCCAGCAAAGGCCTCCCAGGTAATGCAAGAGCAATTCCATCTGCTTAACTCGTGGAACAAGAAGTGGAAAATCTCTCAACGGAGATAAGTCCACCACCACCATCTTTTCCATCCGCCCCGGCAACTGTCCACCAGTTATCCTTAACGATGTTACAATCCCAGAAGAAGCCACTCCCAAATATCTTGGTATCACCCTCAACAGGAGGCTATCGTGGAAACCGCACCTGCTCAATAAGCGCATCCAGGAAGAAGACCGCGTTAAAGCGTTCTACTGGCTGATGGGTAGGAGATCGAAGCTGCCGACGTCTTCAAAGCTACTTATATACAAGGCGATCATCAGGCCAATCTGGACATATGGCATCCAATTGTGGGGCACTGCCGGTAAGACTAATGTCCGCATTATGCAGACATTTGAGAACAAAGCTCTCTGCACCGCCACCAGCGCTCTTCCTCTGCACGACAACGACACTATTCATCAAGTCCTCAGCTTTCCTTGGATGAAGGACGAAATTAAGAAAAGCAGCAAGCGGTACATGCAGAGGCTACATGACCACCCCAACAATTTGGCGGTGAACCTGCTGGACAACAGCGAACAGACAGATGATATATTTTTTCGCCTAATAAAAAGTTTATTTAAATGAGATGTAACAGTGTATTTGAGGGAAACTGGGAATCGTTAAACCAAATCACAGATATGTATATTAAAAAGTTCACTAGAAAATTTTGTTTCAGGTTCTTGCCAAATGGTCGAAGAGCACATCAAATAAAACTGTTACAAAGTAGCTCCCAATAGCAACGGCTAATATTTCGGATGAAAATGTTACTGTCATGTGCTGATAGTTGTAATAGTTTTCGACTGTGGCTCTACGGAAATAAATGGCCACAATACAAGTGGTGACAACCATTTTGCAAATCCAAATGCAACTGCGCTCGTAAATATTGAGGGAGTCGTCGGTAAAGCGAAAGGGACCGAAGACAGGTTGCATGAAAAACCAGTTGGTGTAATAGAACTTCGTGTACTTGCGGAAACGAGCTTTAAATAATGGCAGGCGCCTAGTTGGTAAAATAACTCGATGTACCGGATAGCGCAATCTCGAATTGATCTCATCCGAAAAGCAAGACACTCGCACCTTTTCACCCTTGCGAATCCAGCGATGTATCTCGAAAGTGTAGCTTAAGTCATGCTTAAGATCGTCCACCTGAATGGAGCGACAGAACCATCTGGGATACTGGCCATTACCATCGTGGCTTATTGTCAACATGCAAGGCAATTGCAATTTTTTGTTACTTAGACGCACCATGCAGGACGTATTTGAGAGAAGATGGGGGTCCAATGGATTTTGGTATATTATTACCTTGTACCGTCCCAGATCTGACCTAAATACCAGTTTGACATTGGCAGATGTTTGGGCCAACAGCATGCCGCCTGTACGCAAATGCAGAATTGTGGTCTCCAATTTATGTGGTTCCTCCTTCTCACGGCTTGGTATGACTCGAATCAAATTCATTTTCTGGGGATGCCTGCGAAATCTACCCCAGAAGAGTATACCGAATGCCGCAAGAAATATGAGACAATAGAATAATATGCTTGCAACATTTATTGGCATTTCCTCCATTATGCGACGACCCTTTTGCAATGGAAATGGCATAACTGGATATTCTTTGGCCGCAAATGTTGACAAATGGTCGATTTCACAGATTGAAACTTCGGGATGAATGTCTGTATTTTTTGGGTAGCACGAATCTGAAACCCATAGTGGGTTTTTAACCTTGTTATCCCACACGATGCACTCCTGTATGTTCATTCGAAAGGTAAAATGTGCAGGTGTCTTATCAAACGGGTCTGCACGATAAACCGCCATGTAGACTATGCCCTCAGCCGTACAAAAGCTTCGCATTATCAGTGTCCTATTGTGTTGACCGCGTGTTATAAGACAGCCTTTAGTTCGAAGCAACCCGAGTGATGGTTTCTCATTTAGTGTGAGCAGCACGCGCAGGTTCGCCGTTGTCTTCAGAAACTTCACCAAAAGCAAGGCTGTAACCGGTAACTTAGTCCGATAGACTATTATGTTACCAATTAAATAATCGGTCCTATCATAATCATCCACGTCATATATAACTCGCTTTAGCTCTAAAGTAAATGGCAGCTTTGTGTGATAAGGTGAAATCGGAGCCGCATGTAGACTGAAGAAACTAGCCGTGAATATAGCAGTAGTTGGATGCCACACCTCTGGCGCCCACCAATTTACATTACTGCTATGACATACGCTCTGAATTAGCAAGTGGTTGGATTTATAAATACGGCGTAAGGCAATAACGGATTCAAGCGGTACAATGATCTTGCAGTTAGTGCTATTCGAAACGAACTCAATGGGGCCATAGTGCTCAAAAACTTCAACCTTATAGCCAACATGTGGCGCAAATGCAAGAAAGGCTTCCTCGCCAGGATTATGAAAGCGCGGAGCCTCTAAACCGATTTGTTTCAGAATAAAAAACGTCAAGCTGACCATTAATTGGAAGCTGCTCACACGAACGGCCACGGTTGGGTCCAATGATAACCAATCTTTGTTGTCCTCGGAAAAAGGGTCATCAAAGTCTTTTACCATTAAGTCTTTGTGCGAGTGCTCTGTCTCGTCACTTAGCATGCTCATTATTGTGGTTATTGTTTGACATATTCCGAAATAGACAGGTGTTAGCAAGTCCAAGACTTCTCTGTCTTTTTGAAGAAAGTCAAAAGTCCTTGCTAGCTTTACAAATGCTAAGGTCAGTGCCTGCGCCTTATCGTGTGTCACAGGTTTCAATTGGTGTAAAAAGTTTGTGGCTGAGTTCAGCAGCCAAACCATTTCCATGAGGGTCTTACTCCTGTCTTTGCCAAACTCCCTGTAGTAGCGCTTCACAATAGCTGCAGTGGCTTTGTGTAACGACAGCCTGTAAAACAAGCAGAATGCTTGATCTCTGGGCCCATCACGGAGCATCCGTTTAAAGTCATATTTTTTGAAAAATGCATCGATTTCTTCTAAACTGTTTGGCAACTCCATGGAATCGACAGTATACGAAAGAGACAGAGTTGTGCACGCGAACTGACTGTCGCAAATACTCACATTAAGGGAACCGCCTTCGATAAGAAAAAGCCTGGCTTCGCCAAACCCTATCACATGAATGTGGGCGCCATTTACAGTATACACATAAAGTATAGGGCCCGGATTTGAGTCCACAAAGTCCTTACATACCACATGAAAGTTCGTTTGACACTCCTGCCCATGCTTTGGCTCGATACTGCAGGTGCCATTGGTGGGCGCTTTATTCTGCTTCAGCACCAAAACATGTACACCATTTCTTTGACGTGCAGTCTTTACCTCGAGCCTGATGAAAAGATCGCCGATAGTATCATCATTTGGTACCTTGTAAACAAAACGTCGCTTATTCTGCTGCATATCCTTAGAGTTCATCGTCCATTTGTATTCAATTGGACTTTCGCAATCTTCACATAATGCCAACAAATGCAGAAGTTCGCCCGGGCTATAGGTCCACAGCTTACAGTTCCTTACACAAATAACATTAATATGAACGGGCCTGAAGTCGTTAACAACATGAATCACTTGGCTGATGTTGGCCATACGTCGCGCTACATTCAAGCTATATATCCTCAATGTGTACGTGTAGTTGAAGCCCGCTTTGAGGTTATAACCAGGAATAGTTATAACGGCTCCTACAGCGAATGAATGCGATTAGGTACAATGATTGCCTATATTTACAAGCAGCGTTGGTACACTCACCATCGCCCATATAAGTGCGGCACTGGGGATTGAACTCATCTTCTGATTTACACTCCCAACTGTATCTCAATCGCTGAGGAACGCCAATAGGTTTGCCTGGCTCGCGACTTTGGGAACCATCTAACACGAACCGCTGATGCTCGTGCACCTCCCTGTATAAGCCACCTATTATATCGGCCACCAAATCCAAGGCCGTCACATTGAGATAACACTGCAAATAATTCAAAACTTATGCATACATAGTTGTCATTTCATCAAAAGCCAGACCAATGCACTAAGGTCCAAATCGCCGCTGTTTTTGGCATAAACATCCAAATTTGATGGCAGTAAAACTCATAAAGGTGGTTATTTTCCCAAAGTATACATACTAACTAAATGAAATTCTCAAAGAGAGAACGCTACAGTCGAGCAAGCCCGACAGTGAAATACCCTGTACCCAAGTAAACTTCCCACACTGAGGTATATGCGCCGCTAGCAGAATCAAAAGGAAGAAGAAGAGCGAACTTGATGCTGCAGCTTGTGGGCGTAGTACCGAAGTGAAATTGTTTTGTTAATAACTTTTCTTAGAATTAACCGATTTAGATGAAATTTGGAAGAGAAAGTAGATTATTATATATAAATTATGTGTGCAAAGTTTGGTTAAGGTAGCTTTTGAAATGTGAACAATATTGAGGACATTTTGTACCGGGGGAAGATGGGGGAAATTCCAAAAAATAAAATAAACTCGTTCTTTCTCGGACCTAGGGGAATCTGTACACCATCTTTGGTTATTCCAGCTTTTATATTTATACTCTGTACATGAAATGTACAAGAGTATATTAGGTTTGCGCGAGCTGAAAAATGTAACAGGCAGAAGGAGGCGTGGTAGACCCCACAAAGTATATATATTCTTGATCAGCATGACAAGACGAGTCGATTTAGCCCTGTCTGTCTGTCTGTCCGTCCGTCCGTATGATCACCTAGATCTCAGAGACTATAAGAGCTAGAGACACCAAATTTTGCACAAAGATGCCTTATGTGTGTACGCTATACGAGTTTGTTTTATTTTTTTTGACTTCCCCCCTATGGGGGTTTTCCCGATTTTCCATTCGTATAATCGCCTATATCTCGGAGACTATAAGACCTAGGAACACCAAATTTTAGTCCCAGATGCCTTGTGTAAATACGCAGAAAATGTATATTTTGAAATTTCCCTCCCTCCCCCCTCTCTCCCGCAAATCATAACTCCCTTAATTCTTAGAATTTCGAACTAAAATTTTGGAAATACCCCCAGTTGGGTATTATGTGTCCGTGTGTCGCGTTTCACTATGATAGACCGATTTAACAAGAAGTTATAGCCATAAATATATTTGCTGCTGCAGCGCTGCCCACGGCTGTTGTTGATGTTGCTGTTTAGTTGACTGCGAAAATGCTTACACAGACATAAATAGACGCACATAAACATACATACACTCACATAGACGCAATTGCTTTGTATATGTGCAATTATATACCCTTTACGTGAGTTCGAATGCCGAGAAAGGTAAAATCGATCAAATATTTTTAAATTTTCTTATTTTTTTTTTCTATAATTATTGTAAACATATGTACAGAGTATTTCAAAGTCGGGACACCCGACTTTAGCTTTTTTACTTGTTTTGAGATCCTCGCGTTCATCCAGACGGAAGGACGGACGAACGGACAAGTCTAGATCGATTCGTCTCGTCATGCTGATTAAGAATAGGTATCCTTTATGGGGTCGGATATGCTTCCTTCTTCATGTTACATACTGTGCACAAACCTAATATACCCTATTTAGCCTGCAGAGTATAAAAAATACATACTAGTCTTTGTGGATGTTGGACCATGGATGACCAAACGTGGTATAAATTTATTATGATTTCCAGTGAAGGGTACAAATCATAAGATAACTTCTTAGCTCTTTTCTTATTCGGTTCAAATTTCAATTCTAATTCTTTTTATATTGCTATGGGCTCTACTTGAATGGACTTATATTTTAAATATTGTTTATTTCGCCGCTTCATTGGCCGTCCAGTGTTCTTCAATAATACCTTTACACGATGTTTTCTTTCGTGCCATGCCTATCAGTTGAATTCCCAATTAAGTGCTGTATGGATATGTGCTTGTATGGGAACAGTAGACCTATCAACGTGGTTGACTTGACTTAAGGACACATGAGCATTGTAATTGCTAAAAATTACAAGAATTTTGGGATTTATGGAACAATCAGTAATACTTAAAGAAGGGATTGGCGTATATTAAGAAACCGGGTCTACTTACGACTTAGGGGAATATGAATACCAAGTTTGGTTATTGTGCCTCTTTTACTCTCCGAGATCTTTGCACTTATATATGGATAAACGGACGGCCAGACGGACATAGCAATAATGTTTTTACTTTTACTTACACGCAACGTGGCCACATGATTGCGAGTTTCCCACGCCGTTACCCGCACTACCAACAGAAAAGTTGAATACTCTCTGGAGGCAGCATCAAACCAAAGACGAAATCTGGGAATTTTTAATAACGAGGATTCCGATATGTCGGTCTCATAGTAGAGAGCTGTGGGAATTTTGGACATAATTCTTGTCAAGGAAATTTCTAAAGGCCATTCTTGCTCACTTTTTTCGGTGTGATCGGACACTGACCATTTAAAGCGCACCGGAACGATGGGATGGATGCAGCGAGCTTTTACCGTTGCAAATAGATTGGTGAAGCGATTAACGTCGACCACACGGGGCTTGGTTGGGTCCAAGCCATACCTTAGTGAAATGGTTGGTATGCATGCTACGTTCCGAGGTAATACGACATGCACAGCCAGCGTCATATTCTGAACATATGGTTGAGCTGTGCGCGTCATCAGATCGAAGGTCTCAATGCGTATGTTTAAATCGTTTTTGCCTAGGGTGAAATGTTTTGCACTGAACTCAAAGTAAAAGGCACTTTTGTAAGACATATGGCTTATGTTGTGTCTAATGCCCAGGTCGCGCAGAGTTGCTGCTAAGTCTGTGGTATGCTTCAGATCAGATCCCTCTTTAAAGTCCTTGGCAGACACTTGAGCTATCAAATACGTTGGCGTCCATATAGTAAACTCGACTGGTACATCACCCAAATTCTCAAAGCTCAGTACTATTTTCTCCTTGACACCGTAAGTGGCACGCACATTATAGCTGCACATTGCTTTGGTGGTGGCCAATGGTTCCAGAATTCGGCAGTCGAATCCACTACGCATTCCCTGGCATTGGCACACAGTCTGGCCAATATACGAGACGCAGTCGAGCTTGTTTGCGCACACATTGCGATCTGTGTGGCAGTAATCTTTCATTTTTTCACAGAATTTCCCCTCAAAGGACTCTTCATAGCAACTGCAATTAGGCTTGTTGTCAATTAACTCGCAGTCGCCCGCATAATTGCATAGCTCGGAGGAACAAGGCTCGCCGCCAAAAGCTGGCAGCCACAATAGAGCAGCTGAAGTATAAATAAATAGTGTGGCCAACATGTCGTTGTTCATGTATATTTGTTGGGTTATGTAAGTTTAGTTTTGGATTTATTTTTTGAATGAAGTGCAAAGTGTGCTTGATTTGATAAACTCTCATTATTCCTGATCGAAAGTGTTTCGATGGAAAAAGTGTATATACCAAGGGCGTACACTGATAAAAAAAAGCCCGGAAATATCAATATTTACACGTAGATTTAACTATTTTTACCATCGATTTTGCACCATCGTGTGTTTTAGTAGATATAAAGTGTGAACACTTTAAATTTCCTGTTGAATATTAAAATATTAAATTTAAAGTGTGACGATATTAAAAGATGATGTGGTCGTGGGTTTGATTCACGCCAAAGGTTTATTTTTTATAGTTATAAAATATTTCTCCAATTTTGTATACCCTGTACCCGTAGGGTAAAAAGGGTATATTAGGTTTGTGCAAAGTATGTAACATACAGAAGGAAGCATCTCCGACCCCATAAAGTATATATATTCTTGATCAGCATGACGAGAGAAATCGATCTAGACATGTCCGTCCGTCTGGATGAACGCAAGGATCTCAGAAACTGTAAAAGCTAGAATAACCAAAGTTGGCATCCAGATTCTCCTAGGTCCGAGTAAGGACGAGTTTATTTTATTTTTTTTAATTTTCCCCCCCTTCCCCCGCTACAGAATTTCGTCAATAGCGTCTACATTTCAAATGCTACCTAAACCAAACTTTGCACACATAATTTGTATATAATTGTCTATTGTTGTCCAAAATTTTATTCAATTCGGTCAATTCTAAGAAAAGTTATTAGCGAAACACATTCTCGCCAGTACAACCCTCACAAACTGCAGCAACAAGTTCGCTCTTCTTCTTCCTCTTTTTGCTGCTGCTATGACGTTTCCATAATGCATATTTTATATACACATATATATTTTGTATAGAACTATATTTTTAGTGGAAAGCAATATTTCAAGATCTTCACGTTTTTTATGCCTGCTATATAGTTTAGATCAATATTAATATTATAACAAGAGAGAACGCTACAGTCGAGCAAGCCCGACAGTGTAATACCCTGTACCCATGTAAACTTCCGTCACTGAGTTATATGCGCCCATAGCAGCAGCAAAAAGAGGAAGAAGAAGAGCGAACTTGTTGCTGCAGTTTGGGGAGGTTGTACTGGCGAGAATTTGTTTTGCTAATAACTTTTCTTAGAATTGACCGAATTGAATTGTCTACAACAGTAGACAATTATATATTAATTATGTGTGCAAAGTTTGGTTTAGGTAGCATTTGAAATGTGGACGGTATTGACGAAATTCTGTAGCGGGGGAAGGGGGGAAAAATTCCAAAAAATAAAATAAACTCGTCCTTACTCGGACCTAGGAGAATCTGGATGCCAACTTTGGTTATTCTAGCTTTTATAGTTTCTGAGATCCTCGCGTTCATCCAGACGGACGGACGGACAGACGGACGGACAGACGGACGGACATGTCTAGATCGATTTCTCTCGTCATGCTGATCAAGAATATATATACTTTATGGGGTTGGAGATGCTTCCTTCTGTATGTTACATACTTTGCACAAACCTAATATACCCTTTTTACCCTACGGGTACAGGGTATAATAAAAAGTGAAGAAAAGCTGATTGAGAATTCACTAACTTGACACATACCTAACGACCATATCTGTATTCCAAGCGGTTACACTTTGTATTTATACAACACAGCCGCAGAAAACTAACTTGAGAACTCTAGTCAATTGAAATATAATATATTTTTAGTATATTTAAATCGACTACAATAAACTTTCAAATTAAAGTTCAGGAAAATATTTTAATTTACTATGGAATATAGTAAACATAACTATTTGTTTTTTTAAGTGTGTGCATATTAATATTTAATGTAATAACGAAGTTTTACACCTTGTTTGGAATATTATCCATATTAAAATCACTAATTGAATATGTTTATAGTAAAATTTACAATGATTTTATTTGATTTTAATATGAAATAGTAAAACATTAAATTTAATATGAAAATTTTCATTTATTTTAACGCATCGTGCATTGTTTAATCAATATTTAATTTTCTTGTCCCCCCTTTGGCAAAAGCTACCTACCCTTGGTTTATATATTCCTACTTTCGAAGAAGTTTAACTATTGGTGATCGCAGGCCCTATTAGCTACCATAGCATTCGAACTCAAAGCGAAATGAGAACAGCCCACTTCGAAAATACATTACGTTCCACATAGTAAATATGTATTTGTGCACAAAAAACACACTATATTTTTAATATCCTGTACCTAAAAGATGAAAGGATTTGTTAGTTTTGTGCGAATGTACATATGTCACAGGCAGAAGAAGGCGTGGCAGACCCCACAAAGTATATATATTCCTGTGACAAGCCGAGTCGTCTGTCTGTCTGTCCAGGATCTCAGAAGGTACAAGAGCTAGAATTACCACACTTGCTATCCAGGTTCCAGTTTGTTTATTTTTTCTGATAATTCCCCGCTATTAGTGATAATAGAGAAAGGAATGCTAAAGTCGAGCGGACTCAACTCCCAGGAATAAGAACAAATATTTAAGTTATTTAATAAATTAAATAAATATTATTCAATACATTAACACATAAGTGTAAACATAAGTGTGACGTCAAGTTAAGTCAACAAATACCATCAACAACAACAGCGGCAGGCAGAGCTTGGGCAGAGATTACATTTACGGCTATAACTTTCTTTCTAATTGATCTAATATAACGAAACTTGGAAATTTCCAAGAATAACGGGAGCTATAAAAAATTATGAATAGGGGAGGAGTGTATCGGAAAAAATGAGCAAACTTGCCCTTTTTCGGGCTTAGGAGAATTTGAATAGCAAGTTTGGTTATTCTAGGTCTTATATGAAACAAAAAATTCAATATGCAAAATTATGGAAAAAAAAAGGAATAATAGACTCGAGCGGGCTCAACTCTTAATCATAAAAGACAAATTAAAACCAGAGAGAACGCATGATGAGAATAGCATGATGTGATAACCCGCAATGCAGAAATTGCAGAGCACCCATTTATATATGAATGATTTTTACAAGCTGTTCTTAGAGCTGAAGCTTGCATTCAGCGAAACAAAATCTGGTCACAACGCAATACTACATCTGTGCATCGTAGGGAAAAATCATGAATAGAAAACCGGTCATCTGTAGATATTGGATCCACGGATAAGAAAAGTACTGCTGCAGACTCCATTGACAGTTATTCTCGCTAGAGCACAACTTAAGCAATTTGTGCTTAGGATATATAATATGGATCAAAACGTAAGTTAATAACTAAATACTATCGAAATCGTCTGCATATATCTTAAATTTTAAATATTTCTCCAGATTGACCACATACCAACCCCATGCATTGACAACTCGTAGGCATCAACCTCTTTTCATTCGGAGAATACTGAATCAAATACTTGCTCTCTTTTAAATGAGTTCCTCAATTCAATTGAGGTTGCTTCAGGTGACGAAGATGTATTTAATGAGAAACTATAAATAGTTTATCTGGAAAAAAATATTTTAACAAACCAGTTGACATAAACATAAATATGTATAATGCAGTACTGGAAAGAAAACAAGATAGAACGCTACAGTCGAGCAAGCCCGACAGTAAAATAGCCTGTACTCTCCACAAAAAAAGAAAAATTAAAAAAAAAAAAATTAAAAAAAAAATTAAATTATTAAAAAAAATGAATGAATTAAAATTAATTAATTAAATTAAATTAGAATATATGTTTATGTTTAGTTTTAACAGCATACATTTACATCACGTACCTATGCGTGTTTATATGCGTGTATGTATGCAGCACAAAGTTGAACCAAAGCAGCAACAACAACAACAGCTGCGGGCAGCGCTGCCGACAGAGCTGCAGGCAGCGCATGAGCAGCGATTTTACTTATGGCTATAACTTTCTTCAGAATTGACCTATCATGATGAAATTTGGCACACGGACACATTAGTACTAACTGGATGTACCTACCAAAATTGATTTCAAAATTCCGAGAATTACGGAAGTTATAAGAAAAAACACGAATTGCGGGGGAGTGGGGGGGTGCATCGAAAAAAAACTCAAACTCGTACTTTCTCGGTCTTAGGAGAATATGGAAACCAAGTTTGGTTATTCTAGCTCTTATACTTTCTGAGATCCTTGCGTTCATACGGACAGACGGACAGACAGACGGACAGACGGACGGACGGACAAGGCTATATCGACTCGGCTTCTCATCCTGATCAAGAATATATATACTTTGTGGGGGTCTGCCACGCCTCCTTCTGTGTGTTACATACATGCGCACAAAACTAGTATAGCCTTTCACCCTTTGGGTACAGGCTATAAAAAGTTCAAGTTTCCGAATTTATACCGACTAGCTACAGCTTAGTGTCGAAAGGGCACTTTCTGCCCTTAAATTGGTGTTATTAGATCTGCAACCTTACGCCGGACTCATTGCAAAAGTTACTTTTTGCTTAATTAAACAATTAATAGTTAAAATTAACATTAATGAAATTAAAAAAAATAAAATAAATAAAACTTTTTTGCAGGGACTGTAATCATTATAAGTGTTATTAAAAAAATTACAAAATAATGATTATTTTTATACCCTGTACCCAAAGGGTACAAGGGTATATTAGTTTTGTGCGAGTGCACATGGAACACACAGAAGGAGGCTTGGTAGACCCCACAAAGTATATATATTCTTGATCAGCATGACAAGCTGAGTCGATATAGCCATGTCCGTCTGTCCGTCTGTCTGTCTGTATGAACGCAAGGATCTCCGAAAGTATAAGAGCTAGAATAACCAAACTTGGTATACAGATTCTCCTGAGACCGAGAAAGGACGAGTTTGTTCATTTTTTCTGATCCACCCCCCCACTCCCCCCCTATTCACGATTTTCTATAACTCCCGTAATTCTTGGAATTTTGAACTAAAATTTGGTAGTCACATTAGGTTAGTAATTATATATATATTAATTCAAAATGTTCGCCCTGACTCACTGATTAAGGATATATATAAATTATGTCCTTAATCC